CATAAAATTGTTATGACTATATAAATCTTTTAATAATATTATTAAAAATAATAATTTTAATTTAATTTAATTATTAAAAATAATTAATAATTATAATTATTTAAATATTAATTAATAAAATAATTACAATAATATTTATTAATTAACATATTAAATAAACTTATTTTATAAAATAATATTTTCAAACACTATAACCTTATATTCCCTATCTTAAATTTCTATGTGTGGTAATAATCACGCCGAAATGAAACGCAAACCACAAGATCATAATACAGACACATGGCACAAGGCCTTATTTAGCAATCTGGGTTCTCCCAGTGGCGGTAACAGCAATTTAAAGAATAATATAAAAGAAGTTGGTTGGTGCGGAACAATTGAAAATAAAAAACCCATCCCAACAAGTTAACTACCAGTCTTCCCTCCATTTGAGCATTGAAACCTGAACAACAAAACCATTCCATTTCCACACCCACATCACTATGCCTCTGCTCTTACCAAACCCAAATCTGACTGCTTCCATTTCTTCAAACCCATATTTTTGTGAATGCAAATTCAATCCACAGACCACCCCATATGGCCTCCCTTGAGACTATACCGGTCCAAAGTTCATCCGACTCACTTGATGCCAGAACCATTATTGCACTCACCGTGTTCTTCACCCTCCTCTGTGTTTGCATCATTATTGGACACCTCCTGGAGGAGAACCGGTGGGCTAATGAGTCTATCACTGCACTTCTTTTGGTGGGTAAAAAAAGCTGGTGGTGAATTCTTGGTGTGGATGTTACTTGTTTGTGATTTGTTCTCTGTGACCTGTGGTTGGTTGGGTGCAGGGTTTGTGTGCTGGAGCAGTGGTGATGCTGCTGAGTAAATGGACCTGTTCAGTCGGTTTGGAATTTAATGAGGACTTGTTCTTTCTTTACTTGCTTCCCCCGATCATTTTCAATGCTGGGTATGATCTCTCCCTCTCTTTGGTTTAACTTCAATAATTAAATTGTAGTATAAAATTTGGGTTTTTGTTTTGCGTGCAATTCTCGTTAATCTTCATTTCAGTTGCATAGTTATTGGTTTTGTTTAAGATCTGTAAGTCTAATGTTTCCCTGGATTTGGACTCTCAGTCTTAATCTTAATGATGTAGCATCTGGTTTTCTGCAATGTGCTTGAAGTTATGTCTTTTTAGTTGATTGCCAAACAAGATCACTATAATGAATTAAGATCAGCATTGATTTTGTTTCTCTTGATTTTCAAACACCAATCTAGGTTCCAGGTCAAGAAGAAGCAATTCTTCAAGAATTTCACAATTATATTGCTGTTTGGAATATTTGGTACAGTAATCTCATTCTGCCTCATATCATTAGGTAAGACTTTTAGTCACCTGCTTCCTGGATTCTTTTATCAAGCCTACAATTCAATACACTTGATGCATGCCTTGATGAACGGCTATTTAGAAATCACTTGTACACAAGTTCTATGATCTGATATGCCCTCAAACACAAAGGGTCTAACTCATTGTTTCTTATCCTGATATGTTTTAGGTGCCTATTTGCTGTTCAAGAAAATAGGTGTCACATCCCTCGACATTCAAGATTATTTAGGTGACACAAAATAATCTTAATTTATCTTCTCATCAATTACCTATGCTTTAATGCTTATGTATTGAATGAATGTTTGAGTTTTCTACACGTACAGCTGTTGGTGCCATATTGTCAGCAACTGACTCAGTTTGTACATTACAGGTTCATCCAATAAAATTTGTCTAAGCAGAAGTTTACAATAATTAGCCCATGACACTAACGTTTGGATCCTTTTCTCATGTTAAAGGTTCTTAGTCAAGATGAAACTCCGTTCCTATACAGTATTGTGTTTGGAGAGGGAGTAGTGAATGATGCCACCTCTATTGTGCTCTTCAATGCAGTCCAATCTCTTAACTCTAGCAGTATCCATGCCTCTATAACCTTGAAATTGTTGGGGACTTTTCTTTACCTCTTCTTCACCAGCACCATTCTCGGTATATTAGTAAGTTTTCACATTATTATCAAGAGTAATATGTAATGCAACTAACTGTTTTGTGCCTATGAATTTAAAACTGCTTAGTGTAGCCCATTTAAGTCCAAGTCTCAATGTTTATGCCTCACTGGGCATATAAATCCTAGTCGGATTGTCATATCAGTACTGGCTACCTTTTTCCTTATGTTTCTTTCAAATTTGATCTTTCAGGTGGGCCTTCTAAGTGCTTTCATAATAAAAACACTTTATTTTGGCAGGTATGAAGGAACTCTCTACACCTCTCCTTTTACAACAGATTTTTTTTAATCTTCATTGTTTAAAATTTTTATATGGTATGCCGTGTAATCAAACATATATATATATATATATTAACAGAATTTCTTCAACATCATTCTCGTATCAGGAAAAAATTAATTTCAGTTTTTTCTTGTCTTTGTTAAGAGTAGGCATTCAACAGATCGAGAGGTTGCACTCATGATGATTATGGCTTATTTGTCATACATGTTGGCTGAGGTAACAGTGTCTCTCATTTTCATTTTTTTAGCCAACCGGTTCTCATTTCGATTTGAAAAATGAAGAAAAATATCAAAACTCCAGTCCCTAAGTAGTTACTTTTCCTTGAAATAGTAATATATATATATATATATATATAACCACAACAAAGCTTACTAAAACCTGTGAATCCATTCCCAGATGTTTCTTGAACTTGAAATTTGAATTTGCTTTTGTTCTTGCAGCTGTTTAGTCTAAGTGGGATTTTGACAGTGTTCTTCTGTGGCATTGTCATGTCACACTACACATGGCATAATGTTACTGAAAGTTCGCGGATAACAACCAAGTAAGAAGGTTCTCTTTTCCTTCAATTTATTGAAATGGGAGAATGTATTATTTATATCTTTAAAGCAAAGTACACTGAAAGTTGAAGAAATTTGCTAATTACAAATGAACATCACTAAAACAGATTAGTTCCAGTGAGAAAGTACAAAGCAGTATAATTACTTACCAGATTGAAATTTCACACATGTTTTTAAGACTCCATTAAATATGGAGGTCAATGACAATGTGCACCAACTCTAGAAGAAAGTATTCTTTCTTTCTGTTATAATTTGATCAGATACTGATGAAATGGCCTAATCCTCGAACTGGGTGATGATTTCAGACATGCATTTGCAACAATCTCGTTTATTGCAGAAACTTTTATCTTCCTATATGTCGGAATGGATGCCTTCGACGTCTCAAATTGGAAAGCCAGTAGTGCAAGGTAATTTTCTAGTCTTTTGATGCACACTTTTAGTACATATGTGCCCAATCCAACTTGCTTCAAGTTCTTGATTCAGTCCAGGAACTTCAATTGCTGTTAGTTCAACAATGCTTGCATTTGTGCTGATTGGAAGGGCAGCATTTGTATTCCCTCTAGCAAATCTCATCAACTGTTTCACAAAAAGAGAAAGCGCAAAAATTGGGTTTCGGAAACAGGTAGATGACAGTAAAAGACAAGTTAGAACTTTAGCTTGCTTCCTATAGATCTAATTTGACCTTTTAACTGTTTAAATTTGCAGTTTATAATGTGGTGGGCAGGTCTGATGAGAGGTGCAGTTACAATTGCTTTGTCTTACAACCAAGTCAGTCTAAACACAACGCACCAACCCATTCTTTATTGTCGTAGTATGATTGTCTGTTTTGACTAACTTGATATAAAAGTACCAATTTGCAGTTTTATTCAAGCTCTGATTCAACATTATCCAAAGATTATGCATTGATGATCACCAGTATCATAATAGTTGTCCTGTTCAGTACAGTGGTAAGTAAATTCTTTCCTTCATTTTAAACACTAAGGCCAACCAACCAGTACTAACATCTGATATGAACTGCATTCTTAGGTCCTTTACTTTGTCTGCATTGCTACTCCTAGTTCCTGCTTCATAACACCTGAAAAATTCAACATCTATCTAAGAAAATGGATCTTGGAGGCCAAACCTGAGATCTTTTCTAGAGAAAGAAATAGAATTAAGCTAACATTTGTGATTGTCAGTCATCTCTGAAAAAACAAGTTCATATTGAATGTCAGAGAAGTAGAAAACTAATACAAGATCTGTATTTCAAACAGGTGTTTGGTTCTGTGACCAAGCCTCTGATTGAAGCTGTGCTGCTACGGCACACAAAACCAGCAATATCTGATGCAACTGATATTCCCAGTCTAGAAGACTTGGGGCTGCTGTTCTTGGAAAACGTTGAAGAGGGCGATCAAGATGGCAATGAGAACCGATCAGCACCAAGAAGGAGCAGCTTAAGGTTACTAATAACTCACCCTACTTACACTGTGCATTACTTTTGGAGAAAATTTGATGACAAGTTTATGAGACCTGTTTTTGGCGGCCGGGGTTTTGTTCCATTCATACCTCATTCTCCAACAGGTGCAGAAAACAGTACATCCTGAAGCTGAAGGATTTACATCATTTTTTTTTTTTTTTTTGGATTTATTACTGTTATACTTATAATGATTGTTTTCCCGCTCAACAAAATATGAGTTTTTCTTTTTTCCTTTTTTTTTTTCTTTTTATTAATAAAGCAGCCTGGATGTAGCTAGAAAGGCTGCATCAATAGGAGAGCAATCTAGTGCACCCAAATGTGGTTTGAAAGCAACAAGACAGCAAGTCTTAGTAGGGAACAGATAAAATTCAGCAACAAAATTCTTTGATCTCTAGGCAGTTAAACAACTGGAACTGCTATCGTACAGAAATGACTTTAACAACATACACTTAATCAGAAGCATCTTGGAACTATTAAGGATGATGACCAATGAAGCTTTCTTAAGATTGTTTGAGGCCCTCACTTTTCAGACCCTTTCAGATAAAATTATAAAATGATAAACTGCCTCTATTCATTTTACTTGTCACACTTTTATTATAAAGAAAATTACAAAGATTCATAAAAATAGTAAAACACACTTATTACTAATTAAAATTTCTTACTTACTCTTATTAATGGGGGTAGTCGAGAAGTTGGGATGTGTTCGTTTAAGAATGGAGTATTTATTAATAGGGACAAAATTGAAAAAGAAGACTTTTAACCTAATATTGAAAGGATTTTTTAAACTCATTCCCTTAGGCCATGTTAAAAGTAGAAATTGATAAGCAAAAATGGATCATTTCCTTTTAGAAAATGTGATAAGTAAAATAGATTAAAGGTAGTGTTAAACTTATCTTTGAAACCTCTATACTTAACATATTGGGGCTAGTTTGAATGGTTAAAGAGTCATTCAAGTCACGCTTAAAATGCAAGTTCGAATCCCTCTAATCCAATTTGGCCATTTGAGTGCAAACAATTTCGAGAGTAACTCTAGCCACCCTTTAAAGTGGAGCTTTATTTGTACATGTGGATGAGGCAGGAATATATATATATATATACATACATACCATATATATAGTTCCACTCTTACAAAGTTGAAGTTTTGAACCGATGACTTCCAGTTTATGTCATTCATTCCAATTCTTGTTCTTTTTAGCACAGTACTTCAGAGGTATGGTGTTCACTATTGACCCTATATTCTTCTTTTCTTTCGGTGAAAATATGCGTTACCTTGGACGGTGTATATCTTGGATTCTGAAATTTTATCATATTAATTTGCTAAAGATATTCTTAGAATTCACATTGCTTTAAACATAAGTAAGCCTGTGACAGGAATATATCTTGGGGCATGGACTTAGAAGTCTCTTAAGCAAAGAAACGTATATCTTTTTCTAAGATTTCCGGGTTACTTCTACTCTATTTCTACTTTCAAAGAAATTATTATTATTATTTTACAATATTGGTTCATCCTCCGTTCTCAATTTTCCATTCACATTTCAGCCTCTAACATAATTCCTCTCATAAAAAATCCCCCTAGAAATGGATACAAGAGAACAAGAACTCCAGCCTCTTGGTATCTGCGAGAGGCTCTACAACTTCTTCACCAGAAGCTTAGCAGCATATGCTCTCAAGACCGTAACGTTAGGACTTCCCCATGATCATGCTCCAGCTTCAGCACCTGTTTCCAGTGGAGTGGAGGAGTCCAGTTCCAATACCAACAAACCAGTGCACCCTGTGGCTCCTGAAACATGGTCTGCAGGATCAGGTTTGCAGGGTAAAGTTGAGCCAGAGCGAGCCAAGAGTTCTAGCAGTGATCATATCATAGATCGTAAGGAGCTTCTAATTCAAGATACAAGTCCAGAGAAGGAGGAAGAAGAAGAAGAAGCACAACTGCCTGCAAATGCATTTCAAGCAAAGGCTCCAAAGAAAGTGGTTAGCATAAATGAGACTTTGGAAGAGATAAAGTTGAGCAAGAAGAAAAGGAAAAGGAAGAAATCTGCAGAGAAGGTGGCTTCGTTTGAGGATGAAACAGATAAGCCAAAACTTTTGAAATCCATTCTAAAGGTTGGTTCTATTAATCTAAATGAGAATTCATACATGGATCATAGCCCCAGCACTTAGGGAGGTTTATAGTTGACTACCTTTTGGCTTTCATGTTGATGCTGTGTTGACCAGATTATGGTGTAAATGTAAAATCAATTAAATGGAATAGAAGGGGTAATACAAACATCAAAAATACAATTTACCATCTTTCCCAAGAGCTCCTTGGTCAAGTGCTTAAGAGAGATGTGTTAGAGAAATGAGAAATTTAGGTGTTGGGTTAATCCATATATAGATTTTGGAAAATGTGATACCTTATTGAGTAGATGATTAAAACCAATCAAGAAGAATCACCTTATGATACTAACAAATCAGGCGATAATAGCGAGGTTTTAAAAGAGGTTTGTTTTTTAAGTCGTTAACTAACTTGATCATTTAGTAAAATAAATAATAATGTAATTTCTCATAAATTTTCAATATCAAGGGTAATTAACCTTTAATTGAGATCAAAAGGTAAATCTCCTATTGAAAATATTATCCAATATGTCACTTTCCTAAAAAAAGAAAGAAAAATAACAGTATTGCTTGATTATTAAAAACAAAAAATTATTAATAATTTATTGATTTAAATGAAAGAACATATGTTTTTTCAAATAAAATTTTGAGTTTAAATCTCAAATAAATAACTATTAAGAGAGTTTTCTTACTTATGTGATCCGATTTTATTAGATTTTAAATTAGTCAAAATTTAATGTAAATTTCAAATATGTCAGTTAGCACCCAAAAAAATTAAAAGCAAAATACTGGAACCAAGCTGAAATGGAGAGAGATGAGGGGAGACTGCAGATCAGCAAATGCCAGCACACTTGCAAATTTTTTTTTATTTTTTATCATTGTTTCTTTTTGGCATGCCTATAATTATCATTGGCAGATGGCAACAAAATTTCCCATGAAGGCATGAATCTTGACAAAAATGTGGCGTGTGGGTGAAGTTTTTTTTATTTTTATTGAATTTCTTTCTTTTATTATTCTGCATAAATAATTAAAAGAATCTTCGGGGTTTTGATAGTATTTTATTATTTAAGCAGATTAAATGTGCATTGGTCAATTGATAAGGAACATTTTTTTATTTTATCTTAAAGGGTGTTTTATTAAAATTTTAAATTGAAGATTTTAAA